GCGACAACATGGGTGCACTCGTAATGGCTCTCAATGCAATCCTTCATGTGCTAAACAAACGCACTCGTATGATGTGGAATTCGCTTTATAAAGAAGTAAATCAGAGATCAGTCAACAGATGATGGGCATGAGTGTGAATCTAAATGAGGTACAACAATGCATAATTATTTCGTTTGTATCAATTCTCCATTTCATTTTAGTGCGCATCAAGCAGCTGTAGGACAGTTTTCCTACCGTCAAGGTACTAAGGAAGAAAGCTGGCGCGGTTGTTACCTGCTCAAGAGGAAAACTTGTAGTTTGAGTTGTGAACTATTAAGTGATCGAGAGCCCTAAGACTAACCACATTAAGTTCTCAACATATGCACACCACATGTTGAGGGGGTGTTCTCACTTCAAGAGTGAGGTCCACGTGGCAAGAGAATCTTCATCAGCAACACAATAGCTTGAACTGGTCGTGCTTGCATAAACTCGGCTCACTAAGTTGAACCAACTCAGCGCTCCGATCGAGCAGAAGATTACTCCTCGAACTGTTCTGTATAAGTCTACCTAACTATTCTCACAGTGCGAGTGAGAATAGTTAGCACAAGGATAGGGGACTCATATAAGGGAACCCCCATCCAAGTTGACACCATCCAATATGACGTTGGGCGAACAACCCGGTCTGTGCCACTCAATGAACTGTCCAGGACAGTCGCTCTCACCACCTCCAAAGTCGTTGCCGCAGTCAACGTACTGGCTCTCTAGAAGAGATGTAGTACGCACGATGCACGCTTGGTCCGTTGCGTAATATGGTTGCCACACATCACAAGACGAACAATTCAGTTAGCATACTGCAAGCTAACTGCCAACTGTTAAGATAGTACTTGGAGCCATGGCTACAGAGGATGGTTCAAGTAATTGACTAACAAGAGTATCGAGATACAAATGTAGGAAACCCTAATTGAACTTAGGGTGTGTTAAGTTTGTGCTAGAAACTAAGAAATGAACCTAAACTGAACCGAAAGTGTATCTCGCTCAAAGCATGGTGAAATGACAAAAGAACACCATGATAAATGCCAGAGCGAGCTCTAGCCTACTCCAACACCAACCAAAAAGACATATACGCTGTGTGTACCTCTCGTTGTTGAGCTGGTCAAGCACATCCGCGTGACATATCACCCCGAAATGGCTTACCGGTAGTCGGCGTAAAATGGCTTCATTCGAGTGGCATGGCACGAACCTATAGTTAGGAGCTGACCTTGATCTGGCACCCAAGACCCTTAGATTACCTCGTGGAGAGACGTTCAGTGCAAAGAAAAACATGGTAGGGTTAAGTGTACTCTTTGTAACAATGTGAACAAAATTCGGTAAACATTTGTACGGCCAAAATCTTGTCCATACACTCTGCAAACGGGACAAGCGCAACGGAAGCACGGGATGGTTAGACACTGGGTGAGGTACATGCATTCAATAGCCCGCGCGCGACACGAATTCCTTCAACACGCACCTGCCGACAGACGTTGGCCGACCTTGGTCTTCACCCGCATCACCAGGTTCCAGCGGTCACGGAAACGCTGGCTCCAGTGAGAGCTCGCGTTCCAGTTCTTGCCGGGGTGATGCTTCTTCATCCACTCGCGGTTCCACTTCTAGGTGTCCTTCACGGAGATGGCCACCCCGTTAGCGCGCTGAAGGCAGATGTAGCAGTACAACGCTGCCTCCATGTCGGGGTAGTGTGAGTGGCGCCCCCCCCCCCGTGCATCCGCTTGCGGCAGTTAGCCGCGCCCTTGTAGAAGCCCGCAGCCGCAGCCGCCTCCGCACTCCAGCGTCTGATGCAGGCGATGGACGCGGTTGACTCCACGCTCGTCTTCTTCAAGGAGCCGAGCTCCTGATAGCGGCGCGCCCACTTAAGCTTCTCACGCACGGTTCATCCGCGGCGCTTCTTCGTAGTGTCTTTGCTGCGAGGGGAAGGTGGGCGGGTGTTGGGATTATGGAGGGTGGGGTCCTTCGGCGTGACCTTCTCATGGAACGTGGGAATCGGGCCCGCCGCCGCCGCATACTCATCGTCGCTGCCCAGCGTCTCATTCACGACGATGTCGTCAGGATTCGGCGCCTTCTTCGCCTTCTTCTTAGCCGCACCCTTGCTGGATCCCGGGTCTCCGTCGGATGTCCGCTTCTTGTTGCTTGTGCAGAGACCAGCAGGGGCCTTAGCAGGGGCCTTAGTAGGGGCTTCCGCGACCTTGGCTTTTCCCTTCTCCGCAGCGGTGAGTATCGGGCGACGCTCCTCCCCCGGACTGTCGTCGTCAGAGAGCACCACGCGGGCCCGCTTCGACTTGGACTGTAGGCGATGGCGCACCCTCCGCTTCAGTAGCGGAACATCGTCGTCGGTCCCAAGGCTCCATGGGTCGTCGTCGCCGCCTTCACCGTCAAATAAGACGGCATCCGCAGCAACCTTGTCCGACTTTACCACAGCATCCGCATCCGCAATTGCGGCCGCATCCGCATGCGCAACTGTCTCGAGTTCCGCCCCCGCCTCGTCGTCAGCCTCCTCATTCGCATCCACCGCCGCTTCCTGTGCATCCGCCGCTGCCTCCGTGTTGTCAACATCAGCATTTTCACCTCCATCGTTGTCCGAATCACCAGCCCGCCACTCTTCCACCTCGTCGTCGCTCCCGACCGGCCGATTCCACCATTCGTCCTCCTCGATGTCGGCCGGACCTAATTCGTTGCCCGAAGCGCTGTCGTCGTGGCCGTTCTCCGGCCAGTCCTCCTCGGCGTCGTCGCCGTTCGCTTCGTCTCCGTCGTCCCCGTCACAGCTCGCATCGGAGGCGGCGGTAGGACTTCCCGCCTTGCTCGCGTTCTTCGCCATGGCTACACGGATGTCATCCCCGGGCGAGTTAATTCGCCCGTAGTTATTCACCTGCACGTGAGGACGAGGTGAGGACTTGCCTACTGGTACTTTGCTGCGCATGGTTAGAAAGCCTGCCGAGAGCAAGGTTGAGACGAGTATTCAACCTCCTTGAGCACCAAATGAAGTGAGAGCCCGACTACCCCCCCCAGCCAGAGTGCCCCATCCACAGGTGCCGCGCCGCTCCTCTACGAGGCATCTCCTCGTAGAGGACAGCCCTCACGCTGCCAACGTGCTACCAGCAGCGTTCTGGAAGCATCCCTGCGCTGCTGGCGGCAAAACGACGCTGGCAGCATCATTAGATGCTGCCAGCACAGAAGAATGTTGCCAGCGGTGGCAGCTTTGCTGCATCCCTTACGTAGCAAGTGTGGGCGCTGCATGCATCACCACCGAGGTCGGCCTGTTTCAATGAATCTGGTCCCTGGGTGGTTTCTACACACTTTGCAAGTGTTACAGTCAACTTAAATTTTTCTCCATTTATAAGACTTATAAGACACCCTAAACCATCCCGTTTACAAGATAACTCAAGCATTTTTGCCCAGGTACGAGATAAGACATATATGTCTTATATCCAGGCGATGACGGTACCGTATTCTCCCGGACAAAACACCCCCCCGTAATTGTACACCCCCGGGTAGCTTGTGCGGGGGTGGGTGCTATGGGCGACCTCGTTTCTACTATACCCCCCTTTTTAGGTGATTTTCTAGAACACCCCCCTTTTTGGGTGATTTTCTATAACACCCCCCTTTTCTTACGGATTCATTATTATAGGCGTTACGAGTAGCTGCAATATGGAAGAATAACGCAAGAATTCCTCCCTGGATGAAATTTCGCGGTACTTTCACTTGCAATCTGTCGAGATTTCCCCCCTCCCACTATTTCGCTGTCGCCACGTGCTGCTGAATCTTCCGCTGCAAGTGGCCAGAGAGGTGCAACAAGGCATTTTCGTGGGGGTGATGAAGTTCGCGGCCGAAACTCACATTCGCGCCTCAGACAGTGATGATTGTCAAAACACCCACGTTGTCTAATTTAAAAAACACGAACACTAAAAAAAGCCATTAGTAATCACCCGGGTATTATGTAGCTTTTTCCTATGAGAAGACACCCCCCGTAGCTTTTTCCTATGAGAAGACACCCCCCTTTTTTTTTCCTGTATTTTTAGCTATACCCTAGGGTGTTATGTCCGGGAAAAACGGTACCCAATATGTACCCAAAGCGCCAATCATTCAGAACTGATTGTTCGCCCATCGATCTACCATTGGGTGGTTATTCAAAGAATGTAGCTTATACTGTAAAATCCTTGCACATATTCGAAGGTACAACTCACACAAGCAAAAGAAGCGAAGAAATCAAAGCTAAAAACCTGTCCTAAAGAACGATTAATCACACTTCTTTCTTATTTTATTCCTGCACACACAAAGGGACTCAGCAGGTCGTCAGCCGTATGGTTCATGGCCTCCAAGCAACCGCATGCAGTTGCTCGCACCTCTGCTCCTTCAGTCCCCTCCCCGCGATCTAACGTCCCTTTTGGCGCTGCCAGCAAGCGCCTCCTTATTCTTTGCCCATCCAACTAGGGCCCCTCGCTCTTCACTTGACCACCAGCAGTTTTGTAGTGAACATAATCAGCTCCCTGGATTGCAAAAGGCGCACAAAAGGGAGGCAGGAAAATATGAAACAAGTGACAGTGGACGGGATGGAAAGGGAGAAGAATGTGGATGGTGGAGGGATAGTTCAAGAGATACGAATGCTGGGGTGATAATGGTGGGGACAAGATGATAATTGCATTGTGGAGAAACACGGAGTATGAAAGTGCACAAGCAGCATAAAATCACACGGGAGAAGGGGAGTTACAGCAGAGTGCAAAATAAGTCTCCCTTACGTGTGCACTTGTTCTTGCTCTTGTCCATTTTGAACCCATGCTTGCACTGGCACTGCGGCGTTCCTTGCACCATCTTGCACTGGGCATTATCGGGGCAGCCGGACGTACATATGCCTGCCACATTATAACCTGGGGTGTGCGGGAGAAGCAAGGAATGGAGGATGAGCGGGGTTGACAGGGAGTAACCAGTTGGAACAAGAGCAAGGCAGAAAGGAGAGCATACTCTGACTTTTTCCCTTACGTGTGCACATGTTCTTGCTCGTGTCCATTTTGAACCCCTGCTTGCACTGGCACTGCGCCGTTCCTTGCACCACCTTGCACTGGGCATTAGCAGGGCAGGCAGATGAACATGCGGCTGCCACATGAAACGGGGGGTGTGTGGGAGACGGGAGGAACGGAGGATGAGCAGGGTTGACAGGGAGGATATGCATGTGAGTAGATGTTGAAGTAGGAGCAAGGCAGAACGGAGGGCATACGCTGTCTTTTTTCTCTTACTTGTGCACTTGTTCTTGCTCGTGTCCATCTTGAACCCCTGCTTGCACTGGCACTGCGCCCTTCCTTGCACCACCTTGCACTGGGCATTAGCAGGGCAGGCAGATGAACATGCGGCTGCCACATGAAGAGGGATGGGAGGGGAGGAGAGGGGGTGTGTGTGGAAGGGGGGGGGGGGGGGGGGGGGGGTGGGGGGGGGGGGTTGTTGCGGTAGACAGGAGGGATGAAGGATGAGCGGGGTCGATGGGGAGGGCAAAAATGAGAGACGACGGTTGGGATGGGACACAGGGTTTGTGAGAGAGAGGGACAAGCATGGGGACCATTCAAGCTGCGTATGTATCTCGGTCCCTTACGTGTGCACTTGTTCCTGCCGTTATCCATTTTGAATCCCGTCTTGCACTGGCACTGTGCCGTTCCTTGCACCATCTTGCACTGGGCATTAGCAGGGCAGGCAGATGAACATGCGGCTGCCACATGAAATGATGGGGGGTGCAAGAGAGGGGAGCAAAGAAGAATGAGCGAGGTTGACAGTGATGGCATACGTGAGAGAGGACCATACATTGTCTCTCTCGCACACTTTGCACTGCCTCTTGCTCTTGTCTCAGCGGGGTCGACAGCGAGGGCATACATGAAAGAGGACCATACGTTGTAATTTTCGCATACCTTTGCACTGCCTCTTGCTCTTGTCCATTTTGTAACCCGCCTTGCACTGGCACTGCGCCTTTCCTCCCACCACCGAGCACTGTGCATTAGCAGGGCAGGCCGGCTTGCACATGGCTGCCGGGGGTGGGAGAGGGGAGGGATGAGACTGAGTAGTTGGAAGAAGATGGACAAGTGGTTGCCACAGAACACCCAATCACTCTATCTCCACTCATGTGCAAGCACCATGACCCCCCTGACTGTATCTAACGGCTGGACGTTCTCTGAACTTATTGAACTTTCCGCTTCTTCGCTACTTCACTTGTGCACATCTTCACCCCTTCACTTTATGACCTCAACGCCCTTTGAAACAAAGCCCTTGGTGAGCTCACCAGTGCAGAGGCCGTTCGCCTTGGTGAAGCTGTTGTTGCACTGGCACATCCCCTGCCCGTTCTTCACAACGCACATGGAGTTCATTTCGCACTTCAGTGTGCCCGTCTTGCAGGGGTTGTTAGCTGGCAAGGGTAGAAGAGCGGCTGGACGTTCTCTGAACTTATTGAACTTTCCGCTTCTTCGCTACTTCACTTGTGCACATCTTCACCCCTTCACTTTATGACCTCAACGCCCTTTGAAACAAAGCCCTTGGTGAGCTCACCAGTGCAGAGGCCGTTCGCCTTGGTGTAGCCGTTGTTGCACTGGCACATCCCCTGCCCGTTCTTCACAACGCACATGGAGTTCATTTCGCACTTCAGTGTGCCCGTCTTGCAGGGGTTGTTAGCTGGCAAGGGTAGAAGGGAAGCAGGTAGGGAAGGATATAGAGAAGCATCAGCCTGCCGGGGCAATGAAGAGGCATTTCTCTTTGAATCGTATGCAAGAGAGGCGGGTGGGCACACAAGAGAACTCTTGCGCAGGGCCTCCAGGGGCACGTGCACTAGGTTGGTTCTCCAGGGGCACTTGCACTAGGCTGGTCGAACTCTTAAACGTTGGAAGACATTCAACACTAGATTTACCAGGACTGAAATTCTTATCGCTGCAGATCTTCTGAGCCTCATTGAACACGAGGCCCCAGGGGCACTGGCACTGGGGCGTGCCGTCCTTCACAACGCACCCAGCAGATCCGCAGTCCTTGTGACACGTGGCTGTTGTGGGCACCCAGAACGAAGGGACAAACGATTATGCATTGTAAGCATTTCTGGAATACAGTGCAAAAAAATCAACGAGCTACCTCACTCTGTCTTCCCCTATCTCTCCCAACGAGCTACGAGCTTCTCTTCCACTCACAACGGATCACAATCAGCAAAGGCTTATGTGCATGTGCATCTTCACCTAACGTGAGGTGAGGATAGCCTTAGAGTTGTGTTGATATCTGTTTTGAGAATACTCAGAAGTGGTATTAACAGAGTTGTGTGCATGAGTTCCAAAAACGTTTCTCAAACTTAGAGACATGTTCTCGCACTTACTGATCTCACAGCCAACTGATCCCGGCAAATCCATCGCTTTGACAGTCCTGAGAGGGGGAAAGGTATTCACGAAGAGCATAGATGAGGACAAATGTGATGTTCCCACGCCATTCACACCAGGAACTGGAAAACGAATTCTGGTAATTGGAATGCATATTGTTCCCTCCTGCACTAGAACCACAACATGCAAAGCCGCACATGACATGGCGTGCAACACACTCACACACCTGTCTGTGTTGTGGTAGGAATCACCATCCTTCGCAGGACGCGGGATCGTGAGGCCAGGCTTGTCCGTGCAGCCGGGGTTGGTGTAAAACGAAACGCTTTTGCACATGCCAATGCCGGCCCCTTGAAGACCGTAGGAGCTCCACTGAACGCTGATCTTGGTGTCGCCGCGGAGGCCGGAGCTGGAGGTGAGGTCGGAGCACACGGTGGTGCCACTGGCTTGCGCTGCCGGCACGTTGGTGCTGAACTTGACGCTCTCCTGGACGCCATTCGCCTGCAGCTGCACTGTCGTCTGGATGAAGGGGCCTGATGCCACATCGTGGCCGTTGAGGGTCGAGTGGTGATGATGGGGGTTGGAAGACATCGAGTTGGTGGTGGCACAGGGGAAGGGCGAGGGAGAGAGCAGACAGGAACGGAGGTGCAGGGAATGAGGAGAAGAAAAGAGCAAGTCCGAGTTCTGGTGGAAGAGCACGCCTGCTGAAATAGCACCCAGGCAGCAACGCTGCCAGCTGAAATGTGTTTTTTATCCCGAAATGCAGCACTGCATTTCGTCTCCGGTTCACCACTGCAGCACTCACCAGTGCAGTGCTCACAACAAGTGCAACACTCACCAAAGCAAGACTTGTCGGATTCGTAGAATTTTAGACCATTGGAGCACAGACACTCGGGAATGCCATTGCCCGACACTTGGCAGATACCACCCTTGAGGCCGCAATCCATGCTCGCACACGGGTCTGCAGAGACGATCATGGGTTGTTGCAAGGTGAAGAAAGAAAGCGGGAGTTGAAAAAGGGGGTTCATCTCTATGTGCAGTCGCCGGCACTCCACCACTCACTTGCCGGCACTCCACCACTCACTTGCCGGCACTCCACCACTCACTTGCCGGCACTCCACCACTCACTTGCCGGCACTCCACCACTCACTTGCCGGCACTCCACCACTCCCTTGCCGGCACTCGCTGCAGGGACGGAAAATGTGGAGAAGTGTTTGAATATGCTAAGACACATGACTGATGAGCACTGGACTGCCGTGGTGTGACGCCGTATTGAAGGTGAGTACGGAAAACGGGTCACAAGAGCGGATATTTTGCTAATCACGTCACACCCACCCACACTCCGGCCCTTGCCCACATCCCAGTACTTACCCACAGAACCACTGCATGTATTGTCCGCATTGTTGAAGGTGGAACCGTCCGAGCACTCGCAATCACCAGCCGCATTGCACGTAGCATCGGCCCCACAATTGCCGCCACACGCGTCTGCATAGGAAGTCATGGGTGGTTTCAAGGTAGAGTATGGAATAGGGTGTTGAGCAGAGATTACGCTAATGACGTCACACCCACCCACACTCCGGCCCTCGCCCACATCCCAGTACTTACCCACAGAACCACTGCATGTATTGTCCGCATTGTTGAAGGTGGAACCGTCCGAGCACTCGCATTCACCAGCCGCATTGCACGTAGCCTCGGCCCCACACTTGCCGCCACACGCGTCTGCATAGGAAGTCATGGGTGGTTTCAAGGTAGAGTAGGGAATAGGGTGATGAGCAGAGATTACGCTAATGACGTCACACCCACCCACACTCCGGCCCTCGCCCACATCCCAGTACTTACCCACAGAACCACTGCATGTATTGTCCGCATTGTTGAAGGTGGAACCGTCCGAGCACTCGCATTCACCAGCCGCATTGCACGTAGCCTCGGCCCCACACTTGCCGCCACACGCGTCTGCATAGGAAGTCATGGGTGGTTTCAAGGTAGAGTAGGGAATAGGGGGATGAGCAGAGATTACGCTAATGACGTCACACCCAACCACACTCCGGCCCTCGCCCACATCCCAGTACTTACCCACAGAACCACTGCATGTATTGTCCGCATTGTTGAAGGTGGAACCGTCCGAGCACTCGCATTCACCAGCCGCATTGCACGTAGCCTCGGCCCCACACTTGCTGCCACACGCGTCTGCATAGGAAGTCATGGGTGGTTTCAAGGTAGAGTAGGGAATAGGGTGATGAGCAGAGATTACGCTAATGACGTCACACCCACCCACACTTCGGCCCTCGCCCACATCCCAGTACTTACCCACAGAACCACTGCATGTATTGTCCGCATTGTTGAAGGTGGAACCGTCCGAGCACTCGCATTCACCAGCCGCATTGCACGTAGCCTCGGCCCCACACTTGCCGCCACACGCGTCTGCATAGGAAGTCATGGGTGGTTTCAAGGTAGAGTAGGGAATAGGGTGATGAGCAGAGATTACGCTAATGACGTAGGAACTTGGATCGAGTTCAATTATATGAGTCAGTAAGGCCACAAATGCCACAATTATATGATCTTTGTCTTCGATGACGGAAGGCGCCAGCGTGGCTAGTCGCGTTAGGCTGGTCATTTTGAACGAGGCGGGATTCAGAATCTGCGTTGGGGCGCAGAGGCGAATAGACTTTCAGCTCTAGTGCAGGTACTAATCGTATTCCCAGTTCGAGCTCGCGCACACCAGGTTCCGATAATCGCGGGCCCAGTCATTGAAGGCTGACTCAGCACGGATGTATTTGAGATGTGCTACTACGAACGTTTTGTTTTTTCTTTCTGAGACGCTGAGGCTTGCGACGCTTTCATTGGTGCCAGTGGTTAGGACTAAAGCCGTCGCAGCTGGAATCCGTCGCTCGCAAGACTATCGTCACACAGTCAAAACTGGCAGTTTTCAGTCCACGCTGAACACTCGTAACTCGTCGCGAGTGTATCGGCGCCCAGGCGATTCGAGATGCGACTGTAATTTCTGACTGGGATAGGATTCTTGTGCTGAGATAGAAGCGCATTTATTGTTAGCGGGTCATTGAGGTCGCTCACATCCCAGTCAGCCAAAGTCCAACATATGTACTACTGCATTATCATTGCGTCCGTCGTACACTAACCATCATGCCCACCAGGTGGCCATCAGAGAAAGTTGTGTCGTTGGCCAGCCTGAGTGCAGTGGTGGGACTCGCAAAGCGATTCGTGCGGGCGAAAAATGCTTCGTCTGCACGTCGCACACACACGCGGTCAAAGCGGTCATCGGAAATTGGGAGAAGCCGCTGGTAAGAAACATGGGACTCGATAACGTTTCTGGTAAAGCAATGACGCGTACAGTCACTGTATTTAGTGGTTTCACGGGTTTGGTAATTGGGTTAACTAGTTCAGTCACTCATAGTAGGCAGAAATTCACGCGAATAGTCACACATGTCGTTGTGATAAGGATCTTTGGACAGGATGGGTCTGCTAGAATAGCGTAGCGGAAGTTTTTGTTGTGGTAGGTGTCATAATATATTTCTGTATAACTGCATGTAGTTCTAGCTGTAGTGTAGTTCTATTGCTGTCCTGTTAGGTGGTGCACCCTTTGGCTTGCTATAACTTGTAACTCTTCTCATAGTGAACACACATTCTTGTTTCTCCCTTGGTCAACACCCTCGACCTCACCCTTGCTACTCTCGTTCTAACTAAACCCTAGGCTACTAAGCCTACTAAGTTAAGAACCTATTTCAACATGGTATCAGAGCGGTTCTAATCTTAGGACCTAATCTCAATGGGCCCACCAAACCCGCCATCTCTGATGGCGGCATATTTTTCTGCTGCCGGCGTCGAGCTCGCCTCCCTGCACGGTTCACGGGCGTTGCGGATCGCGCAGCGCCGAACGCGGCCGCTAGCGCCGAACGCGGCCGCCAGCGCCGACGCCAGCGCCGAACGCGACCGCCAGCGTCGACGCCAGCGCCAAACGCGGCAGCAAGCGCCGATGCCAGCGCCGAACGCGGCTGCCAGCGCCGACGCCAGCGCCAAACGCGGCCGCCAGCGCCGACGCCAGCGTCGACCGCGGCCGCCAGCGCCCAACGCCGACGCGTACGCCAGCGCCAGGCGCCAGCGATGTGCGCCAGCGCGACCTGCTGCCCCCCCGTCGCCCCTGCTCCCCGTCGCCCCTCCCCGTTTCGTCGCCCTCCCGTGGCGTCCCTCACATGGTCTCTGCCGTGCGTGTGGTGGTGGGGTGGTGCCCGAGAGTGGGGGAGGCGGGGGTGGGTGACTCGGCCTCCCCGCTCTCCTCTCTGTCCCTGCAGCGGCTGGTGCTGAAGGGGAGTGGGGGGGAGGGGGTGGTTGACGCCACTCTGCTGCTACGCCACGCTGCCGCCCCCCTTCTCCCTCTCCCTGCTACTCGTGCAGCCGAGGAGGGGGTGGAGGGAGGGTGTTGGGGTGGCGGGTGTGACAAACCAGCGGCAGTCCCTCCTCCTCTCTCTCTTCCTGCCGCCCCTCCTGGGGTGGGGGGCAAGGGGAGGGGGAGGGTGAGGGGGTGGCGGGGGTGACCAGCATGCGCCAGCCCACCTCCTCTCTCGTCCTGCTGCCCCTCCTGGGGTGGGGGGGAGGGGGGGGGGGAGGGTGAGGGGGTGGCTTTGGAGGACGGATGGGGGGGAAGGCGTGAGGTTCCAGGGGGCGGTTGACAAGGGGGGTGAGGTTGAGGGGGGTGGCTGAAAGAGGGTGTGGACTTGGGGGTTCGTAAGAGGGGCTCGCCGCGCTTGGCTCCCCCCACCTCCTCTCCTCCCTCTCTCACCCTACCCCCCTTTGTAAAAAGGGGGTTCGTAAGAAGGGCTCGCCGCGCCTGGCTCCCCCCACCTCCTCTCCTCATCCCTCTCTCACCCAACCCCCCTTTGTAAAACGGGGGTTCGTAAGAGGGGCTCGCCGCGTGGCTCCCCCACCTCCTCTCCTCATCCCTCTCCTCTCTCTCTCTCTCTCTCTCTCTCTCTCTCTCTCTCTCTCTCTCTCGCCTCCTCCTCGTTTACCTCCTTACCGTCGTCCACTGCGCGTGGTGTACCCCTTCAGGGGGCGTTAACTTCACATTGCTATTCCTGCATGCAGTTAGGGGATGTGTCAGAATATATTTCTGTATAACTGCATGTAGTTCTAGCTGTAGTGCAGTTCTATTGCTGTCCTATTAGGTGGTGCACCCTTTGGCTTGCTATAACTTGTAACTCTTCTCATAGTGAACACACATTCTTGTTTCTCCCTTGGTCAACACCCTCGACCTCACCCTTGCTACTCTCGTTCTAACTAAACCCTAGGCTACTAAGCCTACTAAGTTAAGAACCTATTTCAACAGTAGGAACCTTGTGCATAGTGAATGTAGGTGAGAAGATTGTAACATTCCACACATTATACAATTTCTAGCTAGCTATGTACTCTGAGGGGTACATTCCCTTGTTAACCGTAATACATCGCTACACTGCTTAGCGATCCTTCAGTTACCAATTGTTGGTCGTAACTGTACAAACCGTTACGCCTGTTGACATTC